CCTTCAGGATATCGCTTTCTCGGTTAGTTGCGCGCACAAGGATCTTTCCTTCGGTGCCCCAGACGATCTCGATAATGATACGATCGTCGTCCTCGAAATCATCTGGTGCTTCGATCGAGAAAACCTCTTGCTTCTCAATATCGTAGAATTGCAGATTCACAACGGGGTTGGGAGCTCCAGCCTTGGGGTACTTGATCTCCCTGACCTCTGGATAATCCTCTAGTCCCGGGAGAGGCTTCTTGCCCGATGGCCGTGACAGGTAGTACTGAACGGGAAACTCAGGAACAGCCGTCTCGTTGGTACGCAAGAAAGCCACGTATTTGCCGTCGCCAGACCACCAGGTTACACTATTGCCCGAAAAGACCTCTTCCTCGTAGACCCAGTCGGGGATGCCGTAGAAAAGATCCGTACCGCCGTCCTTTGTAATTGGGACAACCTCCTTCGAGGACAGCTTGCGCAAGTAGAGGTTGTTATCCCTCACAAACGCGACCATATCGGATGTTGGCGACCAGATTGCGAGCTGCACGCGTGCATCAGGATCACTTGGGTCAAGTGGCTGTGCCGATTGAGTAGCCACATCGAAGATCCAATATTTTCCCGTGAAAGAGTGTCTCCAATTCTTCTCGCGTTCAGACAAAAGCAGCACCTTGTTCAGGTCCGGACTGGGCCACGTTGAGACCGGGAAGATCGTTCGTCCATCCACTTGCACAACTGGCTTTTCCATCAGCACCCTGCTTTCCTGGGCAGTCGCATCGCTTTTGCGACTGCGAATGTCGTCGACCCGCAAATATCCCTTGCCCTGATCCTCTCCTTGCTCCACCAGAAGACCATCCTCGCCATTAGGTCCCGCAATCCAGGAAACGGCGTGGGACCGAGGAAGCCACTGTCCCGTCAGCACCTGCTCCAGCGTAACCGGTTTCCCAGAACTCGAACTCCCGGAGATTGCGCCCTCTTCGTGCGATTGCAGCGCTTCGGACACTGATTGTTGGGCCGAGCGACTTTGGGTCACAAACAACACCAGGCCCCAAAGCCAACCTGCGACGCAGAGTATCACCAGGCCCCAAATCAGACGAGACGTACGGCTCCCAGAGGCAGATGGCTTCTTTACCGAAGGGAGAAACGGCTCGTCTGCCCCTACTTCTCCCTCTTCCACATCTCGGTATCTATTCTCATCGGACAGTCCATCGGCGCCGGGGGCGGTTGAAGTGTACTTGGATTCTTCGGGGTAGGCGGTGGTATCGACGGAGAGGCCCGAATCGGAAGTCGAGGAGCTGGAGGGCCGTGGACGGCTCATGGGGAGGAATTCGTTGTTGTCATCCTCTTGATATTTCCCCATTATGGGAGACGATCCTGTAGGAGGCAAGATTGGTGTCTCTGTGTCACTTAAGATCACGAGAGTAGCGGTGGAAGGGAGTCACTGGCAGCTCCGGTAGATAAGAGCCGAGGGATCGTTATCGTCGGCTCGGGGGATCGGCGGTGATGGGGGCGATGAGGAGTGCGAAAGGTGGTGAACACGTTCGTGCACCGGGTCGTGCTATCTAGAGAACAAATGCAATCATGGACTCGAAAATCAAGACAGAAGAGGAATGATGAAGGTTGAGTTTCCGACGCGACGGCCGGAGAGTTGAGGCGATCAGCAAGTGAAACGGGAGGCGCAGCAGATCTACGGGGGTGTTTGTCGCCTGAGGCCACCAACGGTGTTATTCATGCCGAGCTTCTATTGACGGCCTCTTCGGGATGCCCTACACCATACTACTCCTATTGTTATTACTGGTTGGATATGCAGCCAATGGGGATGGGCACTAGGGATAAAGCCTATACAGACCTCTGAAGAGTCTCTTCAGGTCTGCTACTAGCATCGTCAAATGTTGTTAAAGATTTATTGTAGAATTTGATGGTAGTTGATATTAGTATATATAAGACAGCTCATAACCATCATCGCAGACCACCTGCTCTCGGAGTCGGCCGGTGGCGTCGACCAGTTGCTCACACTGGTTGGCTAGGGCATACCAGGCATCTGCGTCGTAGACCGACTGTTCGGGAAGAATGCGATTGAGTCGGTCGACGCTGGCAATTATGCGCGCGATTTGAATGACATAAAGCATAAAAGTATAGTCGTGCCGCTCTCTTTCGCGGCGGGAGCCCAAGCGAAGCCGGGGGTCGACTGTGTCGTAGTATTCACTGAGTGCGTAGTAGAAATGCCGGTATTGCCGAATGACTCCGTTGCAGACCAAGTACAAGAAGTCTCGGAGGGCTTCCTCCATGGGGCATGTCTTGCAGAGGCTCAATTGTTCGATCGGGTCGATGATCTGCCTTAGTCCGTCGCAGCCGCCATACAGGCGGACAGTTTCAAGGGCCTTGTTGATGGAGGTGGTACCCCCAAGACCGTTATCCAAGGCGTCGAATAATATTGAGCAACAGGTACAATCGGTGGGGGCGTCAGGGGAGGGGACATCAGGAGAGGTGATGTTAGAGGGGCTGGTATCAGAGTAGGACGAGGAGATGTCAGAGGAGGGTGTAGTGGTGGTGGTGGTGGTGTTAGAGAAGGTGTCAGGGAATGAGGAGTTAGGAAAGGGTGATCTATCAGAGAAATAAGAGGCACCAGAGTGATGAATTTTCGAGACGTTGTGGTTACGTGCACTACGGTTCTTGCGGCAAGTTGAGATCGAGTCATTTCTAGTAATATTGCTTGTCGGAAGGCAGGTTGGATAGAGTGTGATGGGTCTGGAAAGGGAACGGCGGATTGCACCACGCCTAGCGAGTGTGCATGGAGGAGTAAGTTTATTGGGTGGAGTGATCATGGGAGTAGGAGAGAGCAAACTGTCACGTCTAATGCCTATAGACGGCATGGTGTTGGTAGCCATGTGTCCGATCTCTAAAAGGAGTAGGTAGATATGACAGTTAGAGGCTAGTATAGAGTATAGCGAGGCTGCTTTCTGCTAGTCTCGTAGGACGATAGTGTATTCTGCGGGTTTTCGTTTGCAGATAGTCTAATTTCGAGGTATTTGAAGTACTATGAGGCGCTTAAAGATGAAGTTGAGTAGTCGATCGTGAGCAATAGAAGTGTTGACGAGGAGAAGCCTGGGGGAAGGGCCCAGAACCCCGTAGGGATTGACATAGTCCAACAGAAATCTAGACCCATGGTTGTATATGATTCCTTCTCTTGTAGTTCTTGCTGCGAGCCAATACATTCTGCCTTTGTATGGGATCATGAGGTAGGCATGACAGTATTCTTATAGAGTGCCTACCTCATGATCCCATAAATAGGTCGCTTCGTTTTTAGAATTGACTGCGGGTAGTGGTAATTGTAGACTAACACAGGCGATGAAGAAGCTAGAAAACCTCACTAGATGATAATATCAAGGGTCATGCTTGGGGCAGAGCAATTGCATGAAATAGCCCGTTTGGGTGCCAGGAAGGGCTGCTTCGCTCATTGTGTAATCATCAGGATACTTGATTTTCGAGCGGTTCGTATGTTTGTCTTTCCATACGGTACATCTTCCTGAAAAGTATGACTGGAGACAGGAACAGTCACAAAAGAGTGTCTCTTGAGCCTGAAATAGGGATACAATGGTCAGTGTGACATTCATCCATCTACTTTGAATCAGAAAGAACACACTAATGAGCAAAGCTATATTATATACTGGATATAATCACCTTCTACGAAACCAGCGGACGGACATAGTATGAGCCAGCCTTTTGTCACTGCTCTTAGCAGGGTAGGCATGCAGTCATACTGTGATGATGTCTGCCTGAGGCAAACACCAATATCGCTAATTGTAGATGCGAGGATGCGAGAGAATCCATGTATAATAAGGTTGAATGATGAAGCAATTGTTCGGGATAGAGACTGAATGATAACACAACCGAATTACGAATTTGATCACATAGTGGCTCAGTCGAAGATCATGACAGCAAGAAAGCATGGGCCTAGACGATCCGAGCAGGTCAAGTGGTGTTAGAAGTGATAAGGAGGGAAAAGGGTTGCAGATCAGACGAGCTCGGACGGGGTCAGATTGGCTGGCAGTCGGTGACCAAAAAGACTAGTCTGCAGCTTGCAGGTGCCATATTAGGCAAACATCCTTCCTGCATTCATAAAGAGATTATTAGGATCTGGTAATATTTATCTAGTGGATTTGGAGGGTTTGTTGAGATCTAAAGTAGATGATAAACTACCACGGATGGGTATCGAGGGAGAGAGAGAGGAATGTCGGGGATCCACACAGGGAAAGTGGACAAGAATAGCATCCAACAAGATATAGACTACTACTTGATTTGGACTCCGTAATGCTGTGGGATCCGCGGAATGGTCACGGCGGGGCCACAGGGCTGAGCACCCAGAGTAGTTTTACTTTGGGAGAAGAAGAGGGGATGGACAGACAGACAGACAGACAAACTATCTACTATTTAATCAATCAATCCAATGCGTCCATTTTCGTTCTAAATTTAATTTATTTAGTTACTGGTCTTGGATGGTGTCATCACCCGCAGATTGTCACTCCCTTTTTCCTAATTCTCTTTTCATCTCTTCTTATTATTCTCTCCTCTCCATTTTCTTCCCGCTGCTGTTTTCGCTCTCCGCTTTCCCCTCTCTGCTTTCCTGCTGCTTTCTTGCTTTTGCTTCCTCCCTCCCCTCTTCTTCTTCTTCTTCTTCTTCCCCCCTCTTCATCTTTTTCTCTTTGCGCCCGTTTCTTTCTCCTCCCTATCTCCTCCCAGCCTTATTGCTTGTCGCACTTCTCTGTGATCCCCCCATTGATCTTCCAAGCAAAGTGTAAATCGTGGGGTGAGGCGCACGCCGAGCATCCACCTGGAACCAAAAACGTCATCATCATCCACAGCCCGAACCTTGGCCGCAACTAGGCAGACGGATTCTACGCTGACTTCCCCTTCTAGAATCTTAACTTGATTCTATTCATCATCACCCCTGTCAGCTGCAGTTATAAAGTCAATGATTGCCCGACCAGCAGGTTGAATCCCCACCGTGCTCGAGCAACTCAACCATGACTTCTGCGGACCTCTCCTCCGTTCCCAACGGAGTCCAGTCGGGCGCTGCTGCTGCTGCTTCCCCAGCCGCTTCCAACCCCGCGCCCGGTCAGATCCTCACCGGAAAACAAGAACATTGTCAGTTTTCCCCGATCGCGTCCCGTTGAATCGCTTTGGAGTCTTCGAGGTTCTCTTTCTGACCGATGCAGATCTCAAGCGCGAACTCATCGCCCGCCAAGTTCAGAGCGAAATTTCCGAACTGAACTCGCCAACCGCCCTCCGACGCTTCGGTGCCCCTTTCAAATCCGAATTCGGTGAAGTCGCGCCCGTCGACTCGGAGCTTCCCATCCTACGATACATCTTCGTCCACCATGTGCGCAATTTCCCCTTCCTCGATCAAGCTCGCGAGAAGGAATTCTGGCAGGATAAGTTACAAGTGGTGCGTGTGTCCCCGATTCAATCCGTTTTGCGCATCTCGTAATTGAGAATTAATCGCCGGCCCATAGTTCCTCGAATCGTTCGCGACGAAGCATGTATCCTCCTCCGAAGATCGTCTGGAAGAGACCAAGCGTCGGAAGTTAGCCCGGAAGTGCGAGAAACTGGTCGAGCTGATGATGGTCTCTGGTATCCCCACGGCATCGGGCTACGAGGAGCGGATCCAGTTCTCGGAGATGGAGGTGGTAGACCGAGGGGCTAACGAGAAGGGGCTGTTGGTCAATATGCCGGAGGGTCATGCCATCCATGGCTGGGACGTCAACGTGGCTGCCGTACGCGTTACCTCGGTCAGGAGGACGGTGCGATACCACCAGCATGCAGTAAGCGTCTACGTGGTTGTGTGATTGGACTTCCCCACTGATGCACAGTTTAGGAGTTTATCCTTCGAGTGCGCCGCGACGGAAAGCCCGATCTCTTCGTGGCTCGACGATATGGCGATTTCGCCAAGTTTCACAAGCGACTACGCACGGAATTTCCAGGCAAACCACTCCCACCCCTTCCCCGCAAGAATAAATCCTCCACGACAACGAGCTGGTTCGGATCAGCAGACGATGAAGCATCCTCAGTGTCGTCGGTTTCAACAGTGGGTGTCGCTGTGGTTGATGACGGCACGTCCTCCCGTAACTTGGCCCCCGGAAACCACCATCAGCGGTCGTTGTCGCGGTCATCCAGGCGTTCCGTAAAATCTCCCCGAGCTTCCAGCGACGGGTCGAGGGAGACGGTACTTTACCGCGAAGAGCAGAGAGTTTCTCTTCGGGCGTTCCTTCGTACCTTGCTGCAAAACAAGCGTATAGCTGAGACAAAGGCCATGGAAGAGTTCCTCACCGCGGACCCCATCATTTTGAATGAGGAGGAGGTGCTGGACATGCAGAAGCGCAAAGATGTCGATGCGGTGCGCATAGAGGAGCAGAAGCGGTTCTACGAGATCGCCAGGGCGCGTGCAGCGGAATTGGACGTCTACATGGAGAATTTCCGCCGCGACATTGTGGAGAGCAGTAAGTCCTTGCTGAGGTCCCGATCAAAGGCTTATTCCGCTGACAATAGAATTACAATCTAGACGGTTTGACCAAACTGTTCGCTGAAATCAAAGAAAAGCCCACGGTGCAGGATCTGAGTCCCAAATATCAGAAATTTGCGGAGTGGCTCCGGATAGAGTACGTCTTTAATGGAATACCGTTGCTCTGTATCCAGACTAACCAAACGCCAGGGTTGCTGCAACACTTTACCACCTCTTCCTGGCCGAGGATAATTCCCCTGAATTGTTCGCGCAAGCTAAGCGAATTCATTCGCTTGTCCCGTACACTTTGTTGAAGAATGTTATTCGTATTGCCAACCCCGCGGCCGTCATGGCAGGAGTGCTGGACCTGTTCTTGGCCCAACCCTTCGGCTCTCGATCCCTGCTCCAGCGGATCTTCTCCATGACCCTCAACGATGGCATCAAGGCCTTCCAGAAATCGATCGATGCGTTGGCTGCCAAGGTCGATGATCCCATTCTTTGCCAAAAGTTGAAAGCCTTTACCGATGCCGACGAAGAGGTCAAGAACGAGATTCGTGCCGAAGCTGCCGCCGAGGATGTTGACATTATCGTGGCCATCCTCCGTAGCGAGTATCTGCAACCCGAGCTGGCTCCAGAGCAATTCGGCAACGTGTTCAATGGATACGTAGCATGGAACCAAGCCGTGGACAATGTTGAGGTGGAGATGCGCGAGGGGGCGCACTGGTTTGCGAACTTGAAGCAGCTTCTGAAGCTGTACACTCGTCAAAGGGACAAGGCTATGATGTTGAGCATCGTAGAAGAGCCAACTACTCTTCAGCTGTTCCGCGACCTCTTCACCATCTTCTACGAACCCCTGGTGCGCGTCTACAAGTCTGCCAACGTCTACAGCAGCATCACCGATTTTGCACATTTCGCCGACGATGCGATTGCGGTGATTGAGAAGTGTCAGCGGCAAGATGTGTCGGCAGATCCGAACCAGACCGTACAAGCCTTTATCGACCTGTGCGAGCGCCATCAAAGTAGCTTCTACAAATTCGTTCACGAAGTTCACCTGCACGACAATGGCCTGTTCAGTTCTCTCATGGCGTGGATCGAGGAGATTCTCGAATTCCTGCGCAAGGGGCCGCGCGGAGGTGCGCTCGATATGAACGCCTTGCTTCGGGGAGCCACGGATTTCGTGCAGATTGACAAGGACAAGGCTCTGGAAGAGATCAATGCCCTGATCAAGTGGCATGAAGACCGAAAGCGGTGGCACTTGAACAAGACGCGGCAGAAGATGGCCGCTGAGGGCACGGCACATGACGGATACTTGGGTAACGCGTCATTCCGAGGCAGCGACTTTGGCCTCGACGAGGTATGTATTCATGACTATCACTGATGCAGTTGTGTAGCTGTGTGCTAACAAGGGAATGCAGGCCGACCTGGAAGATCTTGCCATCTCGGACGCCGAGTCGGAAGCATCCGAAGATCTGGACGACGAAGAGGACTTGGACCCGATCTCGGCGGAGCGCAGGCGGCGGGTCAAGCAGCAGGACCAACTTCGGCGTACGGCAGGCGAGCCGGTCAAGCCGGACATAAGCGAAATTCTCAAGTTGTCCGAGTCATTTGGCGTTATGTTGCGACAGGTACTTGCGGAATAAGTGTGGTTGCATTGTTAAGATACCCTAGAGTCTATACAGGCCTTGTATACATCGTTGATTCTGGTTGTTGGAGGTTGAGATCTTGCATGGGATTGCTGGATGGGCTAGAGAGGGACATGATCTGATCTGTTTGGGGCATTGAAACTGTTGTATACACCTAATATCTTTAATTTAGAGCGGACCAAGACAGATTGCTTGCTTTTCTTTTTCTAGAAGTATGTGAAATGCGGACCACTTTTCGCGGTCGAAAGTCGATCTTCCGCTGTCATGTCTCCGCGTGGGAGACCCACAGTTTCCATGGCGACAACCAGTCTATCCCTCGATCTATCCCTCCATCTTTATTCTCGAATCTGCAGAAGTGCCCCTCAGCATGTTCTAGTAACTCTTAAGCCTATCCTTAATCACCTTTACTACTCTATCATGCTCTCTCCCATGAAATCCTTTGGCAACAGTCCATCGCCTCATTCGCCTCGCACAGCGGTTCCTCTGCGGGGTCTCTTCCTCGATGGCGTTTGGCGCTGCAACTGTCCAGAGCGTCCTCCAGCCGTGAAATTCCAAACCAAGAACCACGGTGTGAACCATGGACGATGGTGTACGTAGTTTAGATTCCTTTCTGATCTACCAAAGTTACATCAAAAGCCAATACCACTTCTAAATCCCTAGCTAACCACTGAACCCCGCACCCCATCCCCTCACAGTCTATGTCTGCCAAAAGCCTCAAGAGAAACGCTGTCGCTTCTTTCTCTGGGCCAGCGACGCCGAAGTCCGCGAGAAGCACGCCGTCTTGACGAACTCTCGCACTGAACCTGCCGCGGATTCCTGCTCCTCTACTACCACCACTGCCACGATTTCTACCCCCGAGACACCCTCCAAGAAACCACGCCTATCCGAAGCGGGTCTTCTAACCCCGCAAACTGATTGTACGGTAAGATTCGGAGGTATAGGCTTGGACAATAGTGGAGCCAGCGGGAAAGGAGGACGGTTGAGTGCAACTATGCCCCCTCAAAGCGCCAAAGCGCGCATGATGGCTGAAGACTTTGATGAGTTTGAATGGGAGGATTCAGATGATGCGGTGGTGGAGAATATACTTAGTTCTCAGGAACAGAGGCAGCAACAGGCTGCTGCTGCTGCTGCTGCTGCTGCTGCTGCTGCGCCAATCCGACAGCCAAATTTCGGACCTCCCAAGACGCCGTCCCGAGACGCAGATGGGGCTTCTGCGCCGGGGAAGAGAAAGTTCGATGATATATCGGAGGGCCCAAAGACGGAGGCCTTGACGCCGAATTCATTGGCTACATCTTTTACGGATCGGGCGGTGTCGTTCTCGTCTCCTGTGCCGCCGTCGTCGTTGGAGTTCTCGAAGACGCCTACGCCGCTGAGGTTTGGGGCTAGTCCTGCTACAGGTGGAGATAAAGCATCGTCTGAGCTGACTGCGCAAGCTACTGAGATTCTGGATAGGAATAAGGTGGTGATGTCGGAGAAAGCGAAGGGTGAGTTGATGGATCTCTTGCAGAAGCATGACTTGAAGGTGAAGGGTATTGTCCGGGGACGGGACATTTCCAGGATTGCTTTGAAGAATAAGGACGATCAGATCAAGACATTGAATGAGCGGGTAGCAATGCTGGAAAGGAGGTGAACTATCAAGTGGTTGCGATGATACCCTATCAATATGTGGTTTGTATTCCTCTGTTGCGTCTTCGCGTGATGATCTGATGACGATGTCCATTCTTGCTTTATTAATGTATCAGGATCTGCTGGCAGATTTCCTAGGTAGATTATTTCGGTAGCTTTAGCTAGATACTATTGAACAATTTGACTACCCTTACTATCTTGTACTCAATCCCTCCATAGTTACCAGTAGAAGACATGTGATCCCCCATATCAATCTTATCTCCCATCACGTGTCGATAAGCCACGGAGTCACAGCCCAATTCCAAAGTCTAAAAAATGTCGCGATCCTCCCACCAAACGAACAACCAGATCCCAGCCAGTCCATGCCAGCCTCGCATTACAAATACGTCGACTAGCACAGACCGCCAGTTCCCCAACCCCAAATATCCAACTAGCTATACTGCCGATGTCCATGGAAATCGACTCCGAACCCACCCAACCGCTCCGCAGCGACCTCCCCGCCATGTTCCGTCCTCCAGTGAACCGGGCCATGAGAGTCCTGGACCGGTCCTTTTTTAAGAAGACGGTACCGATCTCTGCGGCAGCGATTTTCAAGACATCAGATATCTCCAATGTGCGGAAGGAATTGACCAAGAGTCGGGATATGCTTGTGCTGCCGAGATTGGGCTCTATAAGGGAGATTAAGATCAATGATTTGATGCATAAGTGTCTTTTGCTGAGGGAGGATGTTAAACATGATGGTATGATCACTGCCTCATCTTTGGAGATACTGTGGTATCGACATTGTGCTGACGGTTCTAGATACTGCGACGTGGTCGCCGACGATTAGTGAGCTTGTGAACAAGGGAATGGTTGGCGTTAAGCCTTATGATTTGACGTTGGATTACGATTACTGGACTTATGGTGCGTGGGAACGATGCTTCGCTGTATGGGAAATCAAGGCTAATTGGAACAGCGGATATAATGTCCTGCATTCTGCCCGAGGACATGCTCGATGAGATCCCTCAGGGATTCACGCAAGTCGGTCATGTTTGTAAGTCCTCTTTATCTTGCACATCTCATGCTCAAGCTGACCAACTAGCGCACCTCAACCTCCGCGAGCAATACCTGCCTTACAAGCACCTGCTTGCCCAGGTTCTGCTGGACAAGAACCCCAACATCAGCACCGTCATTCGCAAAACCGAGGATGTGGGCTCCCACAGCGAATTCCGCACGTTCCCCTTTGAGCTGCTGGCCGGTGAGAACAACCTGAACGTTGTCCAGCACGAGCAACACTGCGAGTTCCGCTTCGACTACTCGCGCGTGTACTGGAACAGCCGTCTCGAGACGGAACACCGTCGTCTCGTGGACAAGTTCCGCCCCGGAGAGATGGTCTGCGACGTGATGGCAGGCGTCGGGCCCTTCGCAGTGCCCGCGGGCCGCAAGAAGATCTTCGTGTGGGCCAACGATCTCAATCCCCACGGATACGAGGTGATGCTGGACGCCGTCAAGCGCAACAAGGCCGACAAGTTCGTCACCCCCTTCAACAAGGACGGTCGCGAGTTTATCCGCTGGTCTGCCCAGGCCCTCCTGGATTCTCCCCATACCGTGACCATCGAGCCCAAGGTGCGCAGAAGCAAGAAGGCCGCCGCAGAGGAGAAGGGCGAGGCGCTCCCCGCCCCAGAGGTGTTCCATCGCCCTAACGTCTTCCATCACTACGTGATGAACCTTCCTGGTAACGCGATCGAGTTCCTCGACGCCTTTGTCGGCGTCTACGCCGGCAAGGAGTCGCTCTTTGCCCCGCACACGTCTCAGCCACTGCCTAAGGTCCATGTGTACTGCTTCTCGGGTCACTCTGCGGATGAACACGACGACCATGTCGATATCTGCCAGCGTATCTCGGAGCGCATCGGACACACCATTACCACGGAGGACCGTGTCGGCGGCAGCGGCAACCAGGAGATCGATCTGGCCATCCACAATGTCAGATTGGTCAGCCCCAACAAGCAGATGTTCTGCGCCAGCTTCCGTCTGCCTAAGGAGGTTGCATTCCGCCAGATCTAACTTGCTATCGAGAAAACTTCTGAGTCATCATATACGAACGATCTACTTAACGCATAGCATACAGGCGTTTTGGCTATGGATATAGAAAAAGTGCCGATAAAATGTTGAATTGATACCCTTACACTTATACTATTGTAATTAACTTACATCCCCTTAAAAATAAAACATACTAGACAACCATATAATTCATATCATTCCACTCACCTTCCAACACCTCTATTGTACTTAAGTCACCATATGGGACCATACCCACCAAGGCGGTCACCCCACTCACCGCCCCCTCATTAAGCTAGTAATCTGCCGGAACAAAACTCAACGCCTCCCCCGATCCCGCACTAACCAACCAACATCACCAACATCAGCGACGACGCGCTACCTCACTTTTCGACGACGACCACCAGTCAATCAAATCTACCACCACATATTTCGAGCCAACAATCACATATATATAGGTTCACTTAGTTATCTGTCAGAATGAGCGTCCAACTCCCCCCCGCCACGCACCGCAAGCGCACCCTCCCACAAGGCGAACTCGAAGCCGCGTCAACGCTGAAGCTTGGCGCGGACCAGAACACGCATACGCTGTCTCTGTCCGAAGCAAGATTGGTTATTAATAAGGTGTTGGAGAATAAGCGGAGGGGTGGGAAGAAGTATGAGGAGCCGGAGTGAGTATATTCTAAATATCTATTGATCTTTTTGTGGATTGGTTACATGAGTGAGAGTTAGGGGTTAGGGGCTAATACATGATTGATGGTTAGGAATCTTACGAAAACGCTCGATTACTTAGAGGTGTTTGCGCGGTTCAAGGATGAAGAGAATATTAAGGCTGTGGAGCGGTTGTTGAATTCGCATACGGAGTTGGAGATGTTTGAGCGGTCGCAGCTTGGTATGTTTATTTATCCCTCCGGATGGTTCTTACTTGGGAAGGGGAGAGGAGTTTTGGGGAGTGTCATGGTCAGCAGCTAATAACTGACAGGAAGTCTGTGCTGCGATAACGCCGAGGAAGCCAAATCGCTCATTCCGAGTCTGCAGCATAAGATCTCGGATGGCGATTTGCAGGAGCTGCTGGATGAGTTGACCAAGTTGCGCAATTTCACGGAGTAGCTTCATCCCTTCCTTTTTTTTATGCATGTTGTGTTTGTGTGTACGCTGCTGTACCATATGGCCATTCTCTGAGCATGGGGTCTGTTTTCGGGATAGCATGGAGTTTGGGAGTTATGACGCATAGTTAATTTAACTGTCTGTGCAATAAGACAGGAGAGGGAAAAGAGAATGAAAAGAAGGGGGTACTGTTAAGAAAAAGGAAAATTGCATTGGCGGTTGCAGGACGATCATGTCGTCATGGGTGGTGGTTGTTCTTTTCTCTCGCGTTCCCTTTGTTTGGGATATGGGACGATATACACAGTAGCTAGGCGGTCACCATCTACTGTGTACTGCATACTGAGTTCGATAGAAGCAAAGAACATGTGAAAATCCATCCATCCATCACCCGGCTCGAGTCTAGAATGACCAACCTACCAGCAAAGAACTAGATAGAGTTTAAACAGAGTGGATAATTTCACCAGCACCATGACCATGCGAAAAGCGGAAGCTTGCCTGTTTAGTTGATTCAGTGGTTGACCGGTTCATCCATCCATTAGTAGTTGGGATGACACGGAGGATAGCTTGAACTGAAAGGAAACTGGAAATGATCAATCAATCCCATCCATGGGCCTGTTGAGAAGACTCGACCCGAACTGCTGAAAAAGTCTAAAGCAGTATCGGTTGGATAATTGAAACCTCAGGAGAGGCCTGAAGGATTGGACTAGATTAAACGCTCTAGTAGTAGATAGTAGGTAGGTACTCCATAGTAAGGCAGTGCACGTTGCCGCCGACCTCCTGCTAATCCAAGTAACAGGGTTGAATGAATAATGGTTGAATGGATGAGAGATGATGTGATCGCCTTCCCCGTTCGGAATATTGAATAATAGGAATTCCTTTCTTTCTTTCTTTCTTTTCCTTTTCCCCCCCCGGGAAAGGATGCAGCAGGATGACCTTTACATTAAGTAATGAGAATCCATTTCCAACTTAACTTTTAGTGCGCAAAGTTGTTGGTTTGAGCTGCACGCGAGCCTAATCTGGATGGGGATTTACATTGATTGATTATAGAACTAGACTAGTGCGAGTACTGACTGACGCTCGGTCGGGCTGATTTCTCCCCGGAGATAACATTAAATCTCGGGTTTGGTGCTTTTCTTCAATTTTTCCTTACATCATATATTTATGGGCCTACTGGAACAGGACCTGCAACAACACCTCCATGTTATAGGAAGCAAAAGTAATTGATTAGAATTATTCCATAATTCGTATCAGGTACTGCTGATGTCACAACATCCACCGGCGCTGTGTACTCCGTACCTGAGTCACGAAACCGTCGCGCGGCCGGGAAACCTTAGTCAACGGATACTACGGAGTAACTAGTTAGTCTAACTATTTGAGTAGTATACTGGACAATTGGACAAATGTACTACTGCAGCTCAGTCATAACCATTAGATAATGAACAATGACGGTCAGCAGAGATGCCCAAGGGAAGGTCACTTTCCCACCAATCAGTAACCCGGGGATTTTCCCGCCGACCTGCATCATATTACTATTTCATTTCTATAGTTAAGTACGGAGTAAGTCGTCAAAAAAGCCCACATGGACTGGACTCATGGGGGGTGGGTGGACTTTACATGCTTTGCTGGGAAAGCTGTGGGGAAAAGCCGTCCAGCTGCAGGGCCGATCCCCGTTGCCGGTATCGCGCTATGCCAATTTCAAGTCTATTGCAGGGGTTGTGATTGGTGGATGAAGAGCGTTATCGGGATGATGTGATTGGGAGCTGTCTCTGAGTAATCCCTGCTTGGTGAGAGGATTTGAGCATTTCTCCGGCATGATAGGTCGGGAGAAACGGGCACCAGATCATTTTATTCACTAGTATTAGATGACTATGTTTAAATAGGGAAACTGTATGTATGTATGCATAATATGTGCCAACAATGAGACCATATGGCATAAGCAGCAAGACACTATATATATAACTCTTCACCCCTGGAGGATTAATTTGAGATTAGTTTTGACTACTTCCATACTTACCTACCTGACGGTTGAATCTCCGGCAATTCTCTCAACCCCAAACTTTCCCGGACGAGAAGTTGCAATTCTCAGTACGTAATACCAAGGCCACCTCGGCAGCCAACCGATCGGGGATCCAATCAGGCGGACGAGGCTTATCTGGACGAGGAGGTGCAAGGGCGCAGGAACTTGAGGCGAAAAGTCGCCGGGTGGCCATCCAGCATGCCTGGCCACCTTTCTGTTACGTGTGGAAAACACCCGCCAGTGTTGATCGATCGCTTCATCCGGAGATTCTCTTATTGATCCTGATGACTGTTTTCCCAATTTCCTGTCTGGTTTACCTCATGCCAATTCCATTACTAGCTATAATCAACTGAATGGACACTGGATGAGATGAAGACCGAGACAGAAAGAGAGGAAGAGTAAGAAAAAAAAGAGAACTAAAAGGACTGAACCAACTTTTGTGTCATTGTTCTATGACTTCTATCTACTACTATATATGTTCCTGACTACCTCTTCCCTTCTAATACAACACCTTTTATCTACTACTATCTATTATTATTATTACTACTACTGCTGCTGCTGCTTCAGTATCACTATCTAATAGGAACTGAAGAAAAGAATATTACTACTACACCACACTACACTACCAACTACCAACCCTACTATTACTATTATCCAGCCAGTGCAGATCCATGGCCCTGATATGATCAGTGCTTACAAGCAATCAGATCCTTCCCTGCTCTCCGCCGTCATCCTATTCCTGTGACAATAATTTTTTTATTATCATTCCATTCTTATTACCTACAGCTTTTTATCAGTTCCTTTCCTTTCTGGAGTATATCTCCATCTCCCCGAATTTGGGCGGCTCCGGTTCCGCTGCTCTTGTCCACCGCAAGCTTGTACTCCCCGACTTTCTCGTTCCCCCATTCGATCAATCCCCCCCCCCCGTTTCATCCCTCCCTTACTTACTACTACTGCCTTCCCTATCTACTTTACTACTTTACTTCTTACTCTATCTATCAATTCATTCCAATCATTTCAATCAATCAGCATCCGTCGGTCTGCTTACGCCTACTCCGACTGATAAGCTTCTCCCCTGCGGTTCGTACGTGGCTGGCAGGCAACCCGTCCTCTCACTCCGTACTTGTTCTGTTCATTGGTCGGTGCGTTACGATAGACGGGATCACCGCGCGACACTCAAACCACCCCGTCGTCGAGACTGGTCTGCAGTCAAACCCCAGATATTTCCAATCCCAATTTGGTGAGGGGTCCTGGCTTACGCCCTGGCTACTGCTACTATTCCTCTAGCCATCCTAGCCTCTTTCTCTCTCTTGTCTCCTGCCCTCCGTGCTTTCCATTGCGGAGCTCGTACGGCGGAGTCTCCGACGGCCCCGGTTCATTTACGTGACAAGAATCCCCATTGATTGTTGTCACTATCGCCCATCTCTGATTTAAATTATTGTTTCTGTGACAATTCGTGAGATTTTGGGCCTGCGAGTCTCGCCGCCTATCTACGCATCTCCGGCTTGTCTCCCCGGTTTGCTCCTGCAGTGGCCACTCTTGAGTTGGCGTTGCTTATCGCTCCATCCGGTTTATCTTTCGACCTGTCCATTCAACCCCCTCTGAATGGCTGCCGTTATCACTCTCCAGTCGTCCTCGACGACGGGGCCAACTGCCCCTTCTGCAGCTGCATTTCAACAGTCGCCTGCTTCTGACCACCACCACCACCAACTCCTTCGACCCCGGGTGCAGCAGCAATCCCAACCCCAGCCATCACACGCCCCCCAACCCGGTTCCATATCCACGCCACAGTCGCCGGCTTCATCCATTGGCACCCTCCCCCGTGTGACTGCAGCAGGCCGGGATGCGCCCAGTTGCGACGCCTGTGTGCGCAGAAAGAGCCGGTGTGCTATTAACGAAATGATCAATAAATGCTATTCGTGCGACTTCCACCGCCAGGACTGCACCTTCACCTTGTCCGTGACGAGTCGCCCCGGCACGGCGGATGTCACGTCGAAAAAACGTAAATTGGACGACGCCGATGCCGAAGAAGTGGAATCCCCCAAGAGGTATGATTTCACCGGGGCGTCCTCCAGGCCGATCTCGGACGTCCCTGCCCTGAATCTCAATTCGGAACGCTAATTTGGGTACCCGCTGCCAGGCAATCTACTACTCTTCCCCCAGCCTCCAACAAACCAGACAGCTCCTCCCGCTCTACATTGAACAACCACCACATCCTCACGCCGGCCTTTTGGTTCCAATCCACTCAGCATATCGGCCTCACCACTGAACTCGAGCCCGCCCTCCTCGAGTTCTTACCCTTGGACCAGAACAACGAAGGGTGTGTGGCCTCGTCTCGCGTGCGCAAGTTCGGTGACGACGGCACCTTCATGAGGGTGGTCAACACCCGTTCTCACGCGGACTCCCCGCAAACCGCTACGCTCGATGCCATTGAAAGCCTGGTCGCCCCTTATGGCTCCACCTTGGTGGAGAAGTTCTTCGAGCATGTCCATCCTAGCTTTCCCATCCTCATGGAGGATAGCTTCCGTCAGTCCTACCGGGCACGGACCGGGCTGACGCCGTTGCTATTGTCCGCCGTCTATGTGTTGGCGTTGAAGTTCGTTGATGTCGGCTCGGCCTCGCAGTCCGTCCGACGGCCGGATGCCGGCCGGCTGGAGAGCACGGCCCTCAAGCTACTGACCGAGTCCCTGCCCTATGCATCCATGTCGACTGTGCAAGCCGGCCTGCTGCTCATGCAGCGGTCCAACCTTGCCACGGCGGCTTTGAACGCACAATTGGTGACCGCCGGGTTCGAGCTGGGCCTGCACCAGGACTGCTCTAATTGGCGGATGGAAACGTGGGAGAAGGGTCTCCGGAAACGCTTGGCATGGGCACTATATATGCAGGACAAATGGTCCGCTTTGGTGCATGGCCGTCCATCTCATATTGTGTCTTCCAATTGGATGGTTCAGGACCTGGTGGAACAGGATTTCACCGATGCCTTCTCGGGTACATCCGCCCACGATGATGCGCCCGTCGGCCATGGTCCGTTGTCCTTCTGCCACATGGTGGCCTTGACGACAATTTTGTCCGATATTCTGGATCGTTTCTATACTCTCCAGGCGATCGAGGAATTCAGGACGGCCGGGAACAACCGTACCCGCATGATTTTGGAGCGCGCCAAGCCGGCTCAGATCCGGCTGAAGGAGTGGTTTGGTCGCCTACCCACCCAGCTGAAGATGGACTCGGGGGGAGATATCTTCGAGACGGTCAATGAAGACAACTCCCGCAACGGTGCTTTGCACCTGGCCTATTTCGCCACGGAAATCACTCTCCACCGCTGTATTGTGCGGTCCCTCTCCCAGGACACCGCTGACGCCTACCTCTCCCATATCTGCCGCTCTGCCGCCAAGACTCGCCTGATTTCCGCCATGGACTTTGTCAACCGTCTTCGCCCGATGCATCTGAGGTCATTCTGGCCGGCCGCCGCGCGGACGAACTTTGCCCTCATCGGATCCTTTGGTGTTTTGCTTCGAGTCACCGCTCCCACCAAAGAAGAGTCGGAGTTCTACCGTCTCCGACTGTGCGAATACCGGTGGACGCTGAGTGTGAGCAAGAAAGACGCCGAGTTCCTTGAATTCGCACTGGAAAGCCTCGACAGCGCGACCAACCTCGATCACTACGTCCCGGAGAAGCCCGGTATCGATGAGCTTATGACCAGCGCCGCTAAGCCTACCATAAATGCTTCCCGCTCGGGCGCGAACGCCCAGCTGGAGGACTCGATGATCGAACTGGAACAAACTGGCGAGAGCGGACGCGGGGGTACCTCCTCCGTTATCTCGGGTTTAGCATCTCCTGCAACCTCGATCAGCGATGACAGTGTACAAGACGCTTCGATTCCCCCGCTATAATCTTCTCTATTCCCTCTTCCTCACACTCCTACCTACAAATATTTGGCCGACGCGATACGCGTCCTTACGCTCACAAACAACTTTTGATGCCCTTGATGACCACAACTACCGCCTTCGCATCTCTGATTACCGATCTGGCGCATTCTGTGATTATTTATCCGACCTCGATGTTTTCCCGGGGTTTCCATTTCTTGATACCTTGGCTGTTATATGTTTGGCTGCACTCGCTTGGAGTTGTGCGTTGTGCTTGATGATGATCGATCACTGTTTTGATTCTTACGAACTAATTCCCCACCCGGCTGGATGACTGGATGAATGACTGCACTTCCGGCATGCATTGTATGTACATATGGGTTTGCTCTTGTTCTTTTATTTCTCTTTATACTCATGGTGGATCCGGGACTGGATGGATAGTTATAGACTGGTTTGGCCATGGGATGGATAGATAGCGTGGATTTACTTTATGGACTGTCACGGTCATGGTCATAAAATTGCATTCTTTGATCAATATTTGCATGATTGTAGATGTTTCGTTAACATGTAGAAGACACACAGATGACATTCGAGATATGTAGCAGATAGATACTAACTACATACTGCATCTCTCAAGTTAGTCCCATATCCTTCCTTCTCTTATTACCTGATTATTCCTATTCAAGCAGTTTTCAACTACTAATCAAACAAAGCCCCCGTCAACCAATACACCTAGGATCCCATCTACCTACCTATTCACCCAGAAAACAAATCACATATACAACTTGTCTATTCTAAATCTTTTATCTACTACTTACACATCAATAGAATACCCTAGATTTCACCCCCACCCACCTCCCTTACTATATCTCAAACCAATATACATCCTTCATACTAATTAAAAAAAACCCCCTTCATAAAACCTACACTGAAGTAGACAGATAAGTGGATTAACCACGCAGAAGTTGTAAACACGAAATAAATTATCAGGAAATCAAATTGTAACTACGGAGTAGCTACTAGGCATGAAACATCTCACGTCGCACACACACACACACACACACACACACACACACACACCCATCACCCCAGGTGGATGTAGCTTGAAAGGCTTGAAAGCTCCGCTTTTTCTGCCCCCCTTCACCATCTAGCGGGTGTGATTAACGGATTTAGAATGGTTAGTGTGCGTTTTTTTATGTCCGAGCTGTGAGATATTTACTAGTAAGTAACTGTACTATATTTATTTATTCATTTATTTTGTTTGGGTGGTTTATTAAGGATGGGTTGTGGCGCTGGCTACTACTACTACTACTACTACTAGTTGGACTAGCAAAGTTATCCCGAGTTGTTTGTGCAAGTCTAGTAGTAGTCTAGGTGATGCCTCGATACGGGGATTGTCTCACTACTTATTACGCTGGTAGTAGTTAGCGATTTCTGCTGCAGAGATGGTTTGGTTACAGAGACTACTGTTTATTACAGTTAACCCCAGAGTAGAAGGGGGGGGAAATAATAATAAAAAAAGAAAAACCATGTTTGTCTACCACAGCCTATAAACTGCACTTACTAGCAAGGAATAGGAAAAACTTCATTATTTATCATCAAGACCCCAAGAAAAACGAAAAATCGCTGCCCCCACTCCCAAACGCAAAGTCCTCCAATATCGTAGGATTAACCAAATTAGCCAATATCTCGGCACGAGTATCAGGCTGTGAATCCTGATTGAACAGCGAGAAGAAAAAGTCGCTGTCTGTGCCGGGTGGGACCATTCCCGTGAGGTTATCCACCCGGTTTTGTCCCGCGGTTGGGTCAGTAGCAGCTGCAGTGGCAGTAGCGGCATCTAAGCCGAAGTTTGAGGTCGGTGGTGGAGCTAGCACTGATGTATGCGCTGCTGCTGATGGAACGAGGGAAGAACGACGGCGTGCGACACATGCGCGCGCGACTTCGAGAACCTCGCGGATCATTTCGGCACAGCGGCGCGCGACGACGATGTTGTTCATGGATTCGAAGATGTCGAGGCTTTTTTCGACGTCAAGGAGGAGATCTTCGTCGCGGATGCTGGGGAAGCCGGAGAGGACGAGGTGGAGGAGGATCATGGCGCCGTAGAGGGCGTAGGTTGTGTTGTACCACCTGTCGGTTTTCCATGAGTTGGGGTTGTTTTGGAAGGAGGTGGGGGGGGGGGGAGGTTACCAGGTTCGAATGTAAATTCTATGTAGGAAGGACTCGTACTGCATCTGGATGCTGGTTCTTGCGGCGTCGAGGCAGGTGTGTAGGTGTTGAAGTAGATTAGAGGACTCGGTGCTGGATGCTGATGCGGCGAGGAAGGGGCGGTGGATTAGGATACGGGTGTTGTAAAATCCTATACATGGTTAATGAATTGGCATTCGGTCATGGTTATAGCTGTTGGGACTCACTTAATCTCAACACTAGCTTCTGTTTAAAGGCCCATTCGGTGTCGTTGAGTGAAGCTTCATCAATGTCCAGGAAGTGCGGCAGTGTGGCTTTCCACGCAAGCAATTTGTTGTCGAGACTCATTGCGATCTGCGACATTTCGCTCATAGATCGCTTCGGTGAGTGGTAGAGAAGATGAGATGCTTCAGACATTATTTGGGCTAGAGCTACCATCGCTGGTATCATGGCGACGTGGTCATCTTCTGCATCGGGGTCGAGTAGATTGCCGGGCGTGGCCTATACCAAGATCAGCAGATGTATACAAGTGCTGTAGCAGGGTATTGCACCCACCTTCAGTGTTGGTAGTGGAACCTGATAATATTGAAGGTCTTTCATGCTGTCTAACCGCCCCGAGGAACAGCACATCTCACTGCATCAAGTTAATAAAGCTGCAGAAAATAAGTAGTAGAGGATACTAACATTTCGTGGGAAAATATACACCTATTCATATTAGCTGCCTGAATACAGATGAAGGAGCAATGCACTCACCACCAAGTCCTTCTGCCCTCCTTCCGCGTATCAATGGACACAGACGACATGCCCGATGCCAGCCCAATAGCAACTGCAGTCCTCACTGCCATGCCGCTGTACATGAAGCAGCTATGCGGTCGCAGCGCATTTTGACAGAAGACACTCTAGTCACGAATCAGCAACCGATGGTATAAATTCAGGATGAGTACTACCCACCAGCAGCAAAAGAGCCTGTGCACTCTCTAGGCTACAGCTCTCAAACAAGTCACCGAGTGCTTGTTTTGCCTTTCCAAAGTAATAGTCTGCAAAGTCTAATGATGAAGGCTTGCTAGTAGCACCAGGTTTGCCCAAGTAGGGAAGGTAATTGCAGTAGTGATCAAGCAGAGCTGTCTCGTGCGGGCTAGCGTTTATGGCACCCAGAGCAACCACGGAGAAATAGAGTCCTGAAAACTTCGATATTCCGCGCAAGAATCCTGGCCGCCTGGGCAGGACAAAAGCCTCATTCTCACAACGCCGCATAAAGTTCGTCTTGCACAGCATAGGGTGAATATAGTGCTTATTGCAAAAGTAGCTGCTGATGAACATTTTCTCGATTTCCAGTTGTGCCTCGTCTGAAAGCCTGTCAATTAGAGGTGTCAATTCATACCGGTGATCTGCCTTAAGGTCAGGTTGCTGTCACGGAGGTAAATGTAGAGGCTTAACTTGCCCACATAGTTTTGGGTATTAGCTCTGGTGCCTTCGGCATTCTCTTTCCTCCCCTGTCTATCATCCTCGGCGCCACCGTTACTTTGTGGCGGGGAGTGACTAGGGTATTTCGGATTATACAGCAGGTTCACTATCGAAAGTTGTGCCTTGTTCGTCTGTGAACTTTCCGACTGCTTGTCTGCTGGAGAGTTGGGGGTCAACTGATCGACAGTTGGTTTGTCCAATAACGAATTGAGCGCCGCATTAGTCCCACCATTAGATGGGTATGCAGGCTCGTTGTCGGGAATAGTTAACGGTCTGTTCTCCGCATGATTACGTGCCCGAGCATATAGATTTCCCAGGAATGCAAGATTCGAGGAATTGCCATAGAACTCTGTGCCATTGGTGTGGAGATTGACCCCACTCAAACCATCTCTGGATGCCGAGTCACATAGCTCAGGTGTGGCAGCTGTAAATTTCTTAGATTCAGGATGCAAATGTAATATCAAGTAGACTTACCAACTATGCTATCATCATCACGTTTAGGGGTGAATACAGTAGGTGAGCTGGCATTGATATTGCCAACACTTCGCGCAACTCGTGGGGTGTAATGGTCCGGAGAGTCACTCTGGTGAAAGCCGCTTTGGTTGCTTTGGCTCACATCTGGCCATGGTGACGGCCGGGTCTTCGATCTGCTTGTGGGTTAGATACCGATGAATCCAGACAACACAGCATCATGACATACTTCTGAGCTTCTCGGATTTGCGCCTGCCTCTTTGCTGCTGATGAGGCACCATTCGGGCCTGCAGCACGATAGAAGCAATCAAGTGAGTGGTCTAAGGATGTGTTGTCAGTATGCGATTCGCCTAGAAGCAGTGTGGCTGAGACTTAAGAGCCGGCAAGGCCGGGATTGCATACATGCACAATAGGAGCACGGTTGGGCTTGGTCGCACTACCATTTCGAAAGTCAGTGAGGAGTCATTGAGCAATATTGATAAGCGACTGGCAATTTGCAATAAATGCAGACGCGACGAAGCCAGAGGTGGACGACACACCTTAGTCTTGCGCACCCGACAAGTCTCGCAGGCACGTGAAGCACGCGGCGGGCGCCGACGAGAAGCGCGGAGTTTCGCCGTCACCGGCTGAGAGTCGTTGCCGCCGTCCATGCCTTTCTCAACAAGTAAAGGCTTCATGTAAACCTGATCGTATGATTATCGTGGTGTTCATGCCGCTTGCTGTTGTTGTTGTTGTTGGTCAATCCCTCCAGCTGATTAGCTTGCTCCACACTAACTTGGGTCGGCACGCTAAGATTGGCTTTTTAAAACCAAACCAAAGCCCGGCTACGATCGCCACCAACCGATGATGACATCTCGAATTAAACCACCCTTGACCCAGGAACAAACTGCGTCAGAGCCATCCGGGGTTTCGTGGGGTCTGGGGTCATTCAAGGCAATGCTTCATCTCTCGGACTTTGCGGCCTTGGATGCTCCACGCCTACGGATATACTGATGATGAGGCAGGATTACTACGCACGCTGGTCAATGCTAAATGCTCCTGCTGCTAGCCCGGATGTATGATTACCAACTCGCCCATCATCAGTGGCCAACTACGACGGTCCCAGCATGCAGCTGTGTAGCTGTGTTCAACAAAACACTCTGCTTGGTCTGTAGCCCTGCTCGCGGGCCTGCAGTTCCAATTAAAACAAGCTTAGATGCCATCTAGTTTGCTCATATTTGACGGGACTATTAGTCGTCATGAGAACTTGCTGTTGCAAGTTGACTGTGTACACTGAATGTATTCGCATCGTTGATTTGCACAACTACTGCGTCTTCAGTCCTAACTCACATGCATAGTAGCTCTACTCTAGAAACCTTTGCGCCTTGCAAACCATTCACCGGCTCGGCTCTGGAAATATAGTTCCCTCCAAAGAAGTTCAGACGTGCTGTGAACACGACGGAATAACGGCATTGTTCGCTACTAACAAACAAGACTATTCGCCCTTCGCATACTTCTTGCAAGGGAGTGTGCGGAATAAGATTTCCAGGACACCAGGCATACCAAATAATCGGCAACACCAAGACGTGGTTGCCGCACGAGTTCCGCCAATGTATGTTCGTCCGACGGAAGACCCGCCACACCCATATATCCGCTCCGACGGATCTCTCTACACCTAACTCCCAGCTGCGATTATCGGCCCGGACGGCCAAAATGACGTTCAATACACAATAATCACAATTGCCCCGCGTTATGAAGTGCGGGGGGGGGAGCATTTGTGGGATCAATTCGGTGTCTAAAATGGCCATAACCGAGAACAATTGGGGGCGGGCGAAGTATAAGAGACGGACTACCACGTCTGGCTGAACCGCTCAAGCAACAGTCTCCTCCAACCTATTTCATATCTCTCATCATCAGAATTCACAATGTCTGAGCAACAAACGAATGGAGCTACTCCCAAGGTCGCTGGCCTCAGCGAGCGCACCCGCGCCAAATGGGCGTCCGCATCGACGCCAGAGGAGATCGCGGCCAACTTGCCCCCAATGCTCGATTTGACCATTGAGAACATCACCGAGAATGTCATGAAGATCAACTCCATGTGCGACAATCCTCGCATGCGGTACCTCATTCTGAAGTTGATCCAAGCCGCCCACGACTACATCCGGGATGTCGGTCTTCAATTCGACGAATGGGAGCAAGCGTGGCAATTCCTGACCAGAGTACGTATCATTGCCTTTTGTCACCACCAAACCAACCGCTAACACAACCCACAATAGGTCGGCCAAATCTCAACCGACGTCCGTCACGAATTTGTCCTCCTCTCCGACATCCTGGGTATCTCCGCTCTCGTCGACGCCCTCTCCTACCCCGCCGTGCCTGGCGCAACCGAGTCCTCCGTGCTCGGCCCCTTCCACGACGAAGAGGCCCACTCATTCGAATACGGAGAGTCCATTACTGCAGAGGGCACCCCCGGCGAGCCCACAATCGTGCGGGGCTGGATCAAAGACACGGAAGGCAACGCCGTGCCTAAGGCTTTGATCGACGTCTGGGAAACCGACGGCAACGGCGTATACGACCTAGAGTACGACGGATCAGAGGACCCCAACTGCCGCGGAAAAATCTTCTCCGACGAGAGGGGCCACTACCTCTTCTCCTGTGTCAAGCCCGTCGCATACCCCATCTCCAATGACGGTCCCGTAGGAGAGCTCCTGCGGAAGCTGAAGCGGCATTGGTTCCGTCCTGCTCATATGGTGAGTTGTCTTCCAATCAACCTTTTATACCCACAATCGTATACTTTTTAAACTAACGGATAATGTAATAGCACTTCATGGTCGCCCACCCCGACTACACCAAGCTCATCACGGCCCTGTACTCCCGCGACAGCAACTTCGTAGAGAGCGACACCGTGTTCGGCGTCAAGAAGAGCTTGATCGTGGATTACAACTGGTGCGAGGATCTGGAGCTGGCTAAGCAGCACAATGTGGTGCCTATTGTTAAGACGATTGATGGACGCGAGTCGAAGGGGTTCTGGCTCTTGGAGCGGGACTTTATCCTTGTGAAGAAGAGTCCTCCTCCGCCTCGTAAGACTGAGGATTTGGATTAAATTGTTTGGAATACTGTTTAGGTAGATAAGAATATGTTTGTCTTTAGCATTATTGAAAGTATGATAGCGCAATAAATGTTTGAGTGTCTGATGTGTGATGTGGTTTCCTTTTCTTTCTTGCACCGTGGTTATGGTCGAAATAATCAAACTAATCTCATGGGTAATGTCATAACTTAACATTGTTCCTCCTTTATGTCTTGCAACTATATCTTAGATTTCAAGCCAATCTTCAACTACTAGTTACAAATCAATGCCTCATGGTTATGTTGACACTATGTGTCCAACTTGATTTACACATTACAAATACTTCACGATCCAGAGGTCCTCATCCATCCCGAATTGTCGGCACTCGGCACCAAAGACCCTCTCCGGGCCAGAGTGTCATGTTACCCCGTGCCGACTAGGCGAATAAAGGAACATTATGCTCCAATTACCCTTCCTGGGAACGACTGTGGAGAGGAAGTAGATCCCATATCCGACGGGTTTGTTTTGGGGTTCAGAGCTTGATCCGATTGGTTTGTTCGGGGGGCAAGCTTCCCCGGATTGATATTCACCGCGGAGGTTCATGCCGGTTCGTTCCATCACAATCAATATGGAGCTAAGTGGTGTATATGGTCGAATGTCTTCAAGCCTTCCGAGTGTAGTATGGACAACATTACCTTATCTATGGAGCAAAGGGCGTTAGAGTGTGTGATGCCTTTATAGATACCACTATCGACTATCTTATCAGCGCGGTTCTCTTCAGTGGCTGGTTATCGGACATTTGTTGCGCTTGCACCATCAGGATCCGGCCAGAACTACTGTTCCGAGCCACCTCCTCATTAGTGCATAGCCGGTCAGCACGCCAAGTTCCAGATTATCCTAGAACAATATGCAGTTCTCGAATGAAACGTCAGACAAATGGCATCCGATTCCGACGGATGAGAGTCCGAGCCTTGCACGGACGGATACTCACGGCTCTCGGCGATGACGATTGAGCTGCAGTCCGGTGGCTCCTGCTAATGAGCTGATAGCCCGATATGGCGATTGCATGCTTATCGGGATGGATAGCGAATTGGATCGTTCAATGGAGGATATATAGTGCTGTACGTAAGGGATATAGGCTGAAGTGTGACTTTGTTGAGTAGTTTCCTTGGTACCGCTATATATCCCATGAACCCCGCTGGCATATTGCCAAACTGCTTTATCCATCGTTGGCTCGATAATCGTTGCTCATATATCACAAAGTACCTCAGCGTTTATGTATCGTTTAATTTCGCGTTCTTCGTCTCGTCCCCTTCAGAAGCAAACATATTCACCCCCGCGACGATATAATATACGGCTATACACCAGTATGGACTGGAATCAAGATAACCTGCGGGCCGGGTTCTGCCATGCTCTCTCGAATATGTATAAGAATGAAGTCCCCCTTTACGGGGACCTGGTGGACCTGGTATGGAAGGCAGATGCAGAGGCAGTTAATAGAAGTCGAAAATTAGGAGGTGCAGATGCCATTGATCCCGATGAGGTATTGCCCTCCAGAAACCGTGTTGAGAGACATGGTGCCATCCGCTTGGGAACCGCGCAGGAGCTAGCCACGATCAGGCGTATGTTCGCTGTTATGGGCATGTATCCTGTTGGATATTATGATCTGAGTGTCGCTGGGTTCCCGATGCATGCTACCGCATTTCGACCAAGGACAAGGGAAGCCCTGGCCAGGCATCCGTTCCGAGTGTTCACGACCGTCCTGCGCATGGACTTGCTGACGGAGAGGACACGAGATCTGGCGCAGAGGGCTTTAAAACAGAGAAACATCTTCACCGAACGCCTGGTGGCTTTGATCAACCACGCTGAGGTACAGGGCCACCTCACCCCTGATGAGTGCAAGGAGTTTATCACCGAAGGGCTCGAAACCTTCCGCTGGCACTCCAAGGCAACAGTGACGCTTGAAGAATACAAAATCCTCAAAGAGGAGCACCCATTGATCGCCGACATTGTATCTTTCCCTAGCTGCCACATAAACCACCTAACTCCTCGAACCATTGATATCGACCTTGTTCAGAAGATGATGCAGGAAAATGGTATGCCGGCGAAAGAGCGAATTGAAGGACCTCCGCGACGCGATTGTCCCATCTTACTACGCCAGACCAGCTTCAAGGCCCTGGAGGAGACGGTATACTTCCGTGATGCTAATGAGGCATATGTCAAGGGATCCCATACGGCAAGATTTGGCGAAGTTGAGCAGCGTGGCTATGCTCTCACGCGGAAAGGCCGGAAGCTGTATGATGACATCCTCAATCAGGTTAACAAAGAAGCGGCAGAGACAGCAGCTGACCCTGATAAATATGAGGAAATTTTGAGGAAACACTTTGAAGGATTTCCAGATGACCTCCGTGAATTGCAAGAGCAGAAACTAGCATACTTCTGCTATCGAACAACACCCAAAGGTAAAGAAAGAATTTCATCAGAAGAGGCCAGTCTCAGCCAGCTATTGGAAAATGGCATTCTTGAGTTCGAGCCCATCACATATGAGGACTTTCTTCCCCTATCTGCGGGAGGTATCTTCAACTCGAATCTAGGCAACACATCGCAGTCCAAACGACTGATCATGGAGGCGGATGCCGACCTGGATGGGTTCCAGCAGATGATGGGAACCCCGGCGGTCGATGAAATCAGTCTTTATGAACAGATGCAGAAGGACAGCCTTGAAAGCTGCCAGGTGGAGCTAGGATTGAAAGAGATTGTGGAGTGAAGATCACATATCTATGTTGTGTGTTAAGATATACAAGATAAAAATAAACGTCAATGGTAGCATCTCTTGCTGACACAATCCGTTATACTATATCGTAGATTTTTTTTTTATAAAGAACTGATGCTGTTGGGGTGCAAGCTCACTCCTTCCCTTCCTGGACTGCCCACTTGCCTTCTCCTGTTCATACTATCTTTCTTTTCTTCCTTTGCTTCCCTTATTTCCATCTCCCATCCATCTTTATTTTAACATGCTGTTGCTATTCATTCCGTTGCTCTGTATCTTTACATTGTTACTATCACGCTGCTAGCTCTAGTCCACCCTTTGATCATTCCAGCGTCGTCTTGCAAATGATAATATTTGGCTTGTTCTAAAGGCAATCCAGTCCCTCCAGCGCAATCATGATGCAAATACTTGGGGCCTTACTGGCCCTGACAGCTCTGGCCATTGCACACGATGGACCTGATCTCAATCTCTTCGACTACGACCAACGTGGGCCTCTCTTGGGAACTTGGTTCGGTATACCCGGCCAAAATGCAACCTTTGACTATATTGTTATAGGTGGAGGCACCGCCGGGTTGACAATTGCCAGTCGGCTGGTCAAGAGCGGATATCTCAGTGTGGCCGTTGTTGAGGCAGGCGGTTTCTATGAAATGGACAACGGTGACCTCTCCGTCGTCCCGGAATACTCGACCTTCTTTTCTGGACCAGATATAAGCGATTTCCAGCCTTTGGTCGATTGGAATTTCGTGACCCAACCCCAGGAGAGCCTAGGCAATCGTACACTTCATTATCCGCGTGGGAAAACGCTAGGGGGCACTTCAGGAAGGAACTACATGTATTATCATCGCCCTACCATAGGCAGTCTGCACAAATGGGCGGAAGAGGTCGGAGACATGAGCTATGAGTTTCCCAGCATGCTCCCCTACTACAAGAAATCAGTACATTTCACTCCTCCGGATGAAAAGCTTTTCATTAACTCGACGAACATACAAAACCCAGAAGCTTTCAGCTCAACCGGTGGTCCTCTAGAAGTCTCGTCGGGTAACTTCGTCGACGGCTTTGGAACCTGGTTTCGCAAAGCACTTATTGCTCTGGGTCTGAAACAGACTGAATTCAATAGCGGCAATCTTTCGGGCTCTGGTTACATGACCCTAACCATCAGTCCCATCAATGCTCATCGATCTTCGTCAGAAACAAGCTTCTTGCAATCGACACTCAACAGTGGCCTAGGTCCTGTAGTGTATCATAAGACGCTTGCGCAGAAGATCTTGTTTGATAGTCATAGAGTCGCAACTGGCGTCCAGGTTGAAACGGCTGGGACATTTGGCATTCCGCCGGTTAACTTCACCCTAAGTGCTCAGAAGGAGGTTATTTTGTCGGCAGGAGTCATTCAGTCGCCTCACTTACTGATGGTGTCAGGAATTGGCCCACATGACCAGCTTTTCCGGTTCAACATCAGCTGCATCAGCCATCTACCGGGCGTGGGCCAAAACTTACAAGATCATCCCACAGCCGGAACGACGCACCGAGTGGATGTTCCGACTGTAGCCTCGTTAGCTGACGATGATACTCTAGTGGAGTCGAATGTCAAGCAATACATTGTGAATGCCACCGGTCCACTGTCCATCCCTGGGCCAGGGTATTTTGGATGGGAGAAACTACCCAAGCCCTACCGCTGGCGCCTCTCGAATGAATCTATCCAAGCACTCTCGACCCTGCCAGATGACTGGCCAGAGACCGTGTATACCCCTCTTGGTTATCCACAGCCCAAAAATGCGAGCGCCGGTCAAATATATGCCACCATTAGCTTCGTCAACGTTGCACCTTTCTCCCGCGGTAATATATCGCTAGCGGGCCCAAACATGACAACTCCGCCCATAATTAACCCTCAATGGTTAGCGAATACCACGGACATGGAGATAATGGTGGGAGCTTTCAACCGGAGTCGCCAGATTTGGGCGAAACTGGCCGACCTAGGCGTCGCTGATCCGGTAGAGTTCACACCAGGAAACAACGTGACAACATATGACCAGATACTTGACTTCATCCGCAGATCCTTGACAACTATCTCACATGGATCCTCAACTTGCAAGATGGGAAGGAAAGATGACCCAATGGCAGTCGTGGATAGCTCCGCACGGGTGTATGGGGTTCAGAAACTGAGGGTTGTCGATGCGAGCAGTTTGCCGTTCCTACCTCCAGGGGCTCCTCAGTCAACAGTTTATGCTTTTGCAGAGAAGATCGCCGAGGAGATTCTGTACGGGTTGTGATCGGAAATGCATTAAATGCGACGACTAGAGCAGATGCGTGGCTGTCTAATATATCATCCTTAGGATAGACGCTATATCAATAACAGCCTTTCATTGTTAGTCCTATCAGACGAAGTCTGAGCCGTCGCTCACCCGCCTTTGCCTTACATATCAAATGGGCGTGTGAGCTAGTGAAATCAGTGGGTATAGCTTGCTTGGATGTTTCTTCCTATTAGATGGTCAGTAACAACGGCTGCTAAAGGTACAGCCGATTTGCTAACTTCGAGGACACGGAAATACAAGGAGCAACTAAACATTCGAAACCCAATTATACAATAAAATACAATTGCACTCCTCGATGTGCATAACAGAAAAGTCCTATCTGTACATGGTATACCGCTCTACGCGGTTCCAACCAATGGATATAACACAGCATAAAATCCATACCCATCTAAACATGGGCCTCTAAAAAGGCTCGGCCCACATCTTGCTCAAATTTTGCGAAATCCTCAAGTCCCTTTCCCTCAAATCCGAGATCTACTCCTTAAGTTCAACATTGGCCGCAAAATCAGCACTCTGCACTACAACCGCACCCTCCTGCAACAACTCCTCCGCCGTCTTAACCTTAACATCCATGACTCGCAAAATGGTATAACGATGCTTGCTCGTCACCTTCTGCACATGACGGCGTCTCCGCTTCGTCTTCTCCGTGATGCGCAAAGGCTCCGACTCGAAACCCATCACCCGGACCCGGCACTCAAACAACCGCTCATCAAGATACTTCTCGCCGCCCTTGAGCGAGAACTCACGAGAACCGAGCACCGACGCCCGGTTAAACCGAAGGATATCGCCCGATTTTACCTTGGGCATGAGGAAAGGCAGACGCAGCTGATCACCCTCGGTAAGCAGGTAAGGTCTGTCGTGGAGGTGGGCGGTAATGTAGTGCGGCTTTTGCGAGGTGAGGTAGGGCAGCATGTCGAGGAGGGATTGAGACACTTTCAATGGAGCGTCGAAGGTCGGGGCCACGGGCTGTTTGTTGAGAGGCACATCGGCGCGGGTTTCGGGGATGGTGTTCTGGGGCGTCAGGAAGTGAGGTTGTTCGATGGGGATGGAAGTTTGGGCCCGGGGAGTGGCACTGAGGGGAGCGGAGGGGTGTGATGATGTTGTTGTAGAGTAAGATGTGGTGGTGGCTTGGTGAAGGCAGGCACGGAAGGTGGTGTTGCTGGCGCCGGCGAGGATGGAGGATCGGGCGGCGGCGTGCTCGATGGGTAGGGCAAGTGCCCGTGCCAGTGTGGTTCGAGAGAACATGATTGTGTGTAGTAGAGACTAGGGGAGAGAGGAAATTGAGGCGATTGTTGACCTTGACCGTGCCGTGCCTGGACTCCGAAGCATCTCGCAGGATGAAATTCCGGACGGAGAGAGATAAAGTGCTCCACGTGACTTATCGGAGTGCCAAGACCCATTCCCGTTGCCGCCGCATCGAACTTTTTTGTCTTGTCAAGACACTTCGGGCTCCGCCGTTGTTTGATATCAACTTGTTTTTGACTCGCTTTGTCGCGGTTGATTCATCATGGTATGATTGTGATCTTCCTTGACATGTACAGTATCTGATTTTGCTAACTGATTGTTCCGTGTGCAGCCTCAGAACGAGTTCGTCTCACTTCCCCCACCCACTTCCCCAAAGCTGGGCCCCGACCCGAGCTGTTTTTCCACCGCCGGGGAATCCTTATATCGAAGCAACGAACAAAGCATACTGATGATGGAATAGGTATATCGAACGCTGGCAGAAGCAGCACGGTAAGCGGCTCGACCACGATGAGCGTGTCCGCAAGCGCCAGGCTCGTGAATCGCACAAGCAGTCCAAGGATGCGCAGAACCTGCGCGGCCTGAGGGCCAAGCTGTACCAGCAGCAGCGTCATAAGGAGAAGATCCAGATGCGCAAGCGCATCAAGGAGCAGGAAGAGAAGAACGTCAAGTCTTCCGCTCCCGATGAGCCGTCCAAGACTCCTCTGCCCCAGTATCTGCTTGATCGGTCGCAGGCCACCAACGCCAAGGCCTTGTCCAGTGCTATCAAGGACAAGCGGAATGAGAAGGCTGCGAAGTTCGCTGTGCCTCTGCCTAAGGTCAAGGGTATTAGTGAGGAGGAGATGTTCAAGGTCGTCAACACCGGAAAGAAGACCCACAAGAAGTCCTGGAAGCGCATGATCACCAAGCCTACTTTCGTCGGTAGTGACTTCACCAGACGGCCTGTTAAGTACGAACGGTTCATTCGTCCTATGGGTCTGCGTTACAAGAAGGCCAACGTTACGCAGTATGTTTATCCCTTTTCGATTCATTCTGTTTGTTATAATGAACGTTCAACTGACGTAATGGCTTTTTGTTCCTTTCCAGCCCCGAACTGGGTGTCACCGTCCAGCTTCCCATCCTCTCCGTCAAGAAGAACCCCCAGAACCCTCTGTATACCCAACTGGGTGTCTTGACCAAGGGTACCATCGTTGAAGTGAACGTTTCCGAACTGGGTCTCGTCACCACCAGCGGCAAGGTCGTCTGGGGTAAATGGGCGCAGATCACCAACAACCCTGACATGGACGGAACTGTCAAGTGAGTTTCCTCCTCACAGCTTGCCTTATAACTATGATACTAATACTATATCACTACAGCGCTGTTCTCCTTGTCTAAACACCTCTTCTCATCCATGATTATGAATCCCGCTCTATTCCTACATATCATCATACCATATCCCTCCCTATCTCAAAATATGCCCTGGTTGCGTTGGTTTGTGTTCGTCTTCACATAGACTATATCAGTGGGTGTGGCGTTAGCGGCGCGCAAAGTATCCGTCTTGTTTCCCAATTTTCATATTCATTTGCCGAAAAGGATCCCTATTGTCTATTTTCTGATGTGACTTGAAATTGCTCGCTGAGGCCAGTGAGCGTACCAATTAAGTATCCCAATAAATGAAGCTTGATTTGGTCTGAGTGGTAAACATGTCCCCCATACTAGAAGTAACTACTAGCACTACGTAGGATTTATCTCGAGACGACCATCTACAGCACATTCGGAATTGTGCAAAGTGATATATGTAAATTAGTATATTCCAATTATACTCTTAGACCAAACTCCAAATACCCATGCTGTTTCTGGATCCCACAGCTTCCAATGCAATCAATAAACAACACGTGATCGGTCAATGACTCAATCAATCAATCAATCACCCAGGCTGAAGCGCGACTCAAGACAAAAAAAAAAAAATAAAAGACAACACCATGTTTCCAGCGGGTGTGCCCCATAAACCAAAATAATGGTGGTGGGAGAAGAGGAAAATGATGTATAGATCCAAGATGGAACAAGAAGTGAAGCAACAGATATGTGTCGTACGGAACAAAGGAAAAAGGCGAGGATATAACGGTGGTGACTTGGGAACGCCGGGTTCATCGGAGGGGTATGGTATCAGGACGTGAAAGGCACACAGGAACATAGGAAAAGTTGGTTGGTTCAGTCGACAGTGTAGGTTGGTGATGAGTGACTAGCTGCCTTCTTCTAGTGCAGCTTTGATCTTGGCGAAGAATCCAGCGGGCCAAGCGGCTAGTTCTTCGTCCTTGGGGATACCGCGGACGCGGCAGTGGTTGACCACGTTCACGAGGATCCGGTTCAGCATGTCCTGAGTGACTGGGACGGCGCCTTCGAGCTGCGCGTCTGGGTAGAGGAACGGGTCGCGCTGGCCGAGAAGCTCTTCCACGGTTGGACGCAAGGTTTGATCGCGCTGAAGACAGCGCTTCAGCGTTCGGACCAGTCCAGGAGGTACGGGGACGCCTCCTACGCCGAATGCTGGGAAGTCGATCTTCACGTGGGGATTGGGGATGGCGAGGATGCGTTCATAGTATTTGGCGATTTTGGCAAACGGAGGCTGGCCGTACACCATCTTATAGAGAATGCATCCCAGACTCCATACGTCACTCGGTTTTCCGAGCTTCATCATCTTTCCCACACTTGCTGGTAGGCCAAGTGAGGCATTGGAGTCGACCAAGGCTTCCGGTGACATGTAGTTCGGGGTTCCCACTTGCTGTTCGCGATGCACGTTCACAGTGTTATCTTGAATAGCGTTCGCGATGCCGAAATCGATTAGCTTCAGTCGGCCCTGAACCAGGAGGAAGTTCGCCGGTTTCAGATCAGAGTGGACAATGTTGTGATCGTGGACAGCTTGAACGCACTCAAGCATCTCCTTCCAGTAGTATCGGGTAAAGTTAATGTCGAATCTGGCGTCCTCCGCGTTTAGGCGGTAGGTAAGGATCTTCTCTAGATCTGACTCTCCTATTTCCATCAAAACACTCAAGGTATGCTTGTCGGAGTTCAACTCCCAATCGAATAAACGGACAACGCGATCAAGATTCTCCAACTTCTTAAGCAAGTCAATTTCACCCTTGTATCCAGCCAAGGTAGTTGGATCGACATCCTCCAAATTCACCCTTTTCAGAGCAAAGATCTTATAGTTCTCAGCCATGACGCGGTACACTCTCGAACTTCCACCACGACCGATGCAGTCCAGCCGGGTGAAGGGCTTGTGATTGACTGAAACTTGACTGCGCTTTTTCCGTGATTGTGATGCCGTGGCAGCTCCTCCTGTTGCGGTGGCGGTCTCAAGAACGGACATCTTAGGAGGAGGAGGGGCCGGTCTGTGAGGTGTGTTATTACTTCTTGTTGCAAGGATCTTTCTAGGGGAGTTCCCGTTCCCTGCAGGTGTCTCCCCGTGCTCTTTCTTCTCGTCACCATATACCACAGCAAGCTTCTCAGGCTTGTCCAGCAAGTTGAAACCCTGGGGCTTGGCGCGCTTGAATGTCGGTGGAGGCTCATTCTCCTGGTCTCTAGACGAAGGCAATGTCGGCGGAAGGGGGACTTTGAACACAGGCTGTTCTTGCGAGCTTGAGGGTTTGGAGGACATCTCCGAAGAAGACCCGGGTGTCGATTTTGAGTGCGATCCATAAGATTTAGGGGAGGACGATCTAGAAAAGGGTCCATCTGCACGATCATAGGATCGGTGCTCATCGGTTCTGAGAGGTGGGCTTGGGTCGGCCCATGATACCTTGGGTGATGAAGATTTCGCTGTGTTCTTATAGTGGTAGTCGGCGTTGTCGATATTCGCGTCAAGGTCTCGGTCTTCATTATTTTCTTCACTCTGTCGTCGTAATACACCGCGTCTTGCGGGGCCGTTCAGAAACGTTCCAGTGAGTCGTCCGACTCTCTTGACGCGCAATGAGCTCGCCATGCCGATATCCTCCGGGTTCCGCGTTCGTAATACCGATGAAGGACCGGTGCGAGGAGCGTAGTCATCCTCATGCCTATACTTCCTTTCATCTTCTGAACGTTGCGCACTTCCGTGGTCGTCGACATAGCTCCTTTCAGCGGAGCGTCTCTGAGAGGGGGATACGGATGCGGGTGAGCGTGTATGGCTACGCGATGCATTTATTCGCACGCTACGTGGCCTAGGAGCGGGCGTAATGAAATCATTCGAATTGGTTCTTGCATCCTGGTCGGCACTTTCGCTGTTGGAGAGAAGTGATCCCTCCCTTCTCGATCTGCCGCCACTGCCGCTTAATGATGGTGCAAGGCGAACGACGCGAGGCGCAGGACTTCCGGTCGAGTGGTCTTGAGGCGGCGTCGCTCGGGATCGTCTTTCCTGGCTGGAGCCAGCAGAGGATCCCATGCGCTCGCCGCGAAGGCGCGGGGACACATCGAGTCCATCTTCGTCAAGCAGGGCCTTGACGGAAGCGCTGAATTTCGGTTCTGGGACTTCGTCGTCAGAACTGTCTCCCGGAGAGTACTGCCTAGCCACGGAGGAATTGGTTCGAAAGGCGGATGAGTTCTGGAACTCTGGGGAGGTCCGCCTGGACCCGGAGCGGGAGAGCGCGGCGCGGGACATCTCACGGGTTACGAGGATTGTCGAAGCCGGTTAATGTGCTGTCGAGGGTGAAGGGGGGCGAGGGCTTCATGCAAGAGCTCGGAGAGACCGCATTGACGTGTCAGCCCGGAGAACCAGCCCAGTTGGCCCCAATGGTACCTGCTGCAAAGGGTTAGTAGTCGACGTTTGGTGTGTTGTGGTTAATCCGTAGTAAATCGAAACATCCAACTTCGAATTGCCGGTGGCTGGGCGCGGGTCACGTGACTGGGGTGTTGTTTCTGGTTGCCCCGGGCAATCGACTTCCCTCCATCAACAATGATCATTAGACTCCCCACTCGATGATGTCGAGGTAACTATCTAGATGGTACTTGGTCCAAAGTAGTACAACCTCCTCCTTGCTTACACTGACAATGTCCACTTTCTTGGGGAAATTATTTCGCTTGTATCCTGGCTGACTCTGCATCTCACTGCAGGCAACCGTGCTTTTCGCTTCGACGCGACGTTGACCCCCGGGGAATTTTAGCGCAAATCAGCTACTACGGTTAATGCTTCTGCTCCAATGGTAGTCCTTTATCTCCGTGCACTGATGTGCCATGGTACTTTCTGAATAACTAGTAGTTGGCGTAAGCATTGGCTCTAATTAATTAATTAATTAATTAATCAATCTTATTCTACTTTATTTTACTACTACTTGGTACTATTGTTGCAGTCAAGCTCGGATGGAGCAAAGATATGTATATATATATATATATCATATAGTACTTATATATCCGAATGGAACATCACCTGTCAACTCCCCTTTCGGGTGAAGTGTAGCAATTTCATCATACAGGAACGACTGAACTACCGCTAACCATCCGAAGCGTATACTAGTAGTAATGAGTTATCAGTAGTATCACTAGTAAGAGTCTTAAGTAGCGATAATAAGCACACCACGCCAATACAATTGAAGCCAAATACCGGTAACGTGGTAGTAGTAGACATTTAGCAGCAGTACTACTAGCAGTAGTGTACAATAATCAAACGGCAACGCGACTGTAAACGAAATACAACACACAGTCTAACTAGGATCAATGGCTATACAGTAAATATACTTAACCCCCAGTGAGTTTCTTAAGAGGAAACGATGAGATAGGATGGGATAGCATGACCCGGCACAATATATGGACTTTATGGCTAATATTCATGTCTACCGTAAAATTTGTACAGCAGACAACGAACGAATTGAGTACAGAGAGGCCCCGGTACTTTTTGCTGGTAATTGCCTCCCATCTTTTCAACAGTGGACTAATCCAGCTATCACACTTCACATGAACTAGGATTTCTAGTAGCTAGCTGTCTCATTCGTAAGCTCTGTGGGTTGAGGGCTTGATGTAGGTTTGCTGAACTGGGGCGTTGTCGTGAACAGGGAAAACCTTTCTAGTCCCCTGTTCCATACGCCGAGGGGAACTATGAGCAGCAAATTGGTACGTCGAAGGCATGAATCAATTGCCCTTGGATGTGACAAATGTTGTTAGTGCTTGTATCTGCTACGTTGACTTCTTGATGACACACATCTCCAAATCAGTACACTGATGAGTCTAAAAACTGATAATGCGAAAAGTTGCTCAATGATAGGGTCCCACCCCCCAGTCCAGTCTTTGAGCCACAAAGAGTTTGTATCTGTATCATGAGGGATTTTTTTGCCGAAATGAGGAGTCTACCAGCACAATAGTGTTTGAAAGGGCATGCTAAAACTGTAAATCATGACTCGTAAGTTCAGTGGCGTAATCCCAGTCTCAGATATTACAGATTGATGAACTGGCGGAGAATAGGAGGAGTTCTATGATATGGATCAACTCTGGCAAAAATAGGACGTGGAATAAGCTCGCTGGGGCAAAGATCTCAGTACAGGGAACTAGTCCAACCTTGAAACATGGAGAGCATGAACGATATTCCCGACTGTCAAAAGTGCTTTTGGCCTCAGGTTTGACGTGACCTGCCACAAGCACCTGACATCACCTGATGGTCTGCAGCTTCCTAAAGAGGCATGCGCGGCCGAGTGTGTCTCCCGTCAGTATTATCGTCATCGTCATCGTCGTCGTCGTCGTCGTCGTCTTCCATGTCTTCCTTGTCGTCGTACTTACTCCCTAAGGAGACCGAGGGTTTCAGGAGAAGAGTTCTTCCGTGGATGTGGCCGAAGTTCGCCCCCTCCCCCCTGCAGTGACTGATCGGATTGCCTCCGTTACCTTCTCCTCAGAGTGACTTGGCAGCTGCTCCCCGGTCAATGCTCCAGTGGCAGCATAATCCAATTGCTATTCGCTCATTTTTTAGGTGCAGGGTGTACCTGGCTATTTGCGGCGGTCAATCAATATTATTCAGATCAGGTAATCTTCCGAGTTTAGTCGACTCAAAACCCGGTCAATCTTAACTGGAAGTCCTAACTTGGTCAGTTTTTAGAGTTTCCACAGGAACGAACGAAGATCGAACCCATCTGCAAGTGATGAAACCACGAAGCCATCATGCAAATGCCACTGTTCCAGAGTCAAACAAACCTGTGCCCACAACTACCCACTGTCCATTGCCTTGATTTCCATCGTCTAGAGGGGAAGCCGTCGGCCCAGGACTGACCTTACTACTATTGTTCGGTTAAAGCGGGCAGCCGGCAGCTCAGGCCATTGAGAATTTGGGGAGAAAGAGGGGGGTGGAGCCTCAGGAACCAAAGGTACGAGGCCTTCGGGTCAGGAACGCCTGTTCGGGCAACGATTGCCCTCCGAAGGCCTTCTTGCCATTACCTTTGCCAGTGTCGACTAGCCAGGGCTCAATATTGGTGTTGGAGAGCAGTCTAGACTGCTGCATGAGAAAGTCAACCGACATCTTAGGGCGGACTGTGTTGTGCAGCTTGTCGTTTGCTTGGATGTTCCCTTGGCTTCTCTACCTCTTAGGCTGAGGGCGCTTTACCGCAAGTATCCTTGCCTGCCGCGCTAAGGCAGTACCTACTGCATCCGCAGCTTCCTGTCCCTGACTAAAAAGCGATGCTAATGCACTAATTTAGCGTGCAAAGGCTGCATCCACCAGGCCACATTCGGTTGTGCACAGCACAGAATGGAGGTGCTTCTGTTCCTCTGCTTATTGTTGTCCCCTGCACACTTCAGTCCACGAGTAGTCTCCCGGAACTCTTTTAGGTTAGTGAACCCCAGCTGGCTTGTTTGAAGTGAGACTTTTTCTGCCTCCTTGGGGGAAATTAATTTTCTATATTTGGAGTGGGTAGAGCATGACACCGTCACAGCACTCTCACGGATTTTTCAATCAATGTTATGATTATACTACCGGTCCCTCAAGACTGTAGTGCGCAGATAAGATCTGTGCTCCTTTCAATTATTGATTGCACTATCTACTTCATACTGTGGAATGGATTTCTTGTCCGGGGGAGAGTGGGTGGCCCCCCTCTCTCTATTAGTATTCAGCGTTCACTTGTCTCTCGCATTTGTCATTGCTTTTTCCTTTTGTCTTTGAAGCCTAACGTTCCGGAACTGGATTTATGCACCGCCCCGGAAATTAGTTGATCAGTCAACAACGCACATATGTCACAAAAATCTTAACGCCTTTTTTTGTTGCTTTTCCTAGTTTTTCTTCCTTTGCCTTCCCCTCTGTCCACCACACCTGTCTTTTCTCCCTCCTAACCACACCTGGATAGCGTCGGTTAGGCTCCGTACTCCGTATTTGACTATTTTTTCTCTTAGTTGTTTTATCACATTTTGGAAAGGGATCTAAGCAACTCTAAAGTTTCATCTTGACTTCATCCGTGGAAGAAGGTGGAACCGGGCTCACAATTCAGGGACAAAACACCGGCCGTGTTGATCGCCCATGGGTCGGCCTCGACGGCTGGCCGGCACACTGGGATTATCCTTTTGTTTACCTGATGAGGGTCTGCGCAGTCTGACTGTCATTGGCCCGCCATCCGATCACCAAAGCCAACATCCCCCTCAACTCGCGCTTCTGGTTGGCATTCCGTCGCTGACCACCCCACGGGTGACCCGACGATGATGTTGATGATAATGATGTTGCTCGTACCGTACTGCCGATGCCCATTGTACTGTACCTTCCCGCAGCAGTGTTGCCCACCCACACGCTCACAACGAGGCA